ATTTCGGTAGATAAAAACATGTTGTGAATTTTGGAATTTATTACATTATCTCTTTTCAATACAAAACTTTTGGATTTTTCAACGAGTTATTGGAAATTATCATTCGAATCGGAACCAATCCTATGCAGCCACCACTGGAATCAAACCCATGAATTAATGGATCTGTTATGTTAGGAAAGGCAAAACATCAAGAGACAAAATTTAAATTCTAATGAATCTGAAAATGTGTTAGAATTTTGCACTGTAGCCAAGAAATTATAGCCTAATTAGTTTGTTTAATTTCATGAAATATCAATCTTATCAGGGCTAATTTAGACTATATGCATAAGCTGGCACAATAATAAAGCTGATTAATAATAATAATATAGGCTTTATTTTGTCTTAATATTGAAGTACACTATTGATGACAGCTAGGCTATAGTCTTCCTAGGATCAGCATAACTGGAACTCTAGTAGATGCAACACGATCTCCTGGCACTGTGTATATATAGCACAAGCTAATGTTTTCTCTATTATATGCAAAAGTAAGCTATTACGTGCATCTGGCCTGCAAAATGTACTAAATTTATCATATGCACGTAAAAAGTGCGCATCATGCACAGATGCACGTAAAAGGTCATTTCTGCATATAAAGAGCACGCAAATGAAAGCATGAACTCGTGCTATAGATAGACAGTACCAGGAGATTTGGTTCTCGGTATCACGCACAGTGTCAGTGTTAGATGAACTGTCAAGAGACGAAGAGACATCACTATCTGAACCTGCTCCTCCATCAGACTCAGCATCATAAGGCTCGGAAGCAAGGCTAAAACCTGAAAAGTGAAGCTAAGTTTTAGCTTTGCAATAGCATATAAAAAGAACTAGGAAAAAAAGTTTAGGCAACAGTGACGCACATCTTTAAAGGCATGAAAAAGTAGTAAAAGCTGAAATAATACACGTCTGTAATGCATCTATGGTAAATTTGACTGGCCACTCAAAGTAGAAATAGTGCTCAGAACACTTTTGTGTTTTGTATAAAATAACAATGTTCAAATAAATTAATGCACACATTTTAGAGAAGTCAGGATACTATAGCTATTTGGGTTTTATTTCAACAAAGTTATTACATTGCAAAATTTAAAAACAGTCAAAATGACTGTATTGGTTTCTAGTGTTAACAAGATTGGCCCACTTTAAAAATAGTAATGGCCTGGATGTGCTTAATTGTCGTGGAAATGATCTGTATACATACCCGTGTATATAGGCCTACATTTGAGTTTCTATGTTTTCCTATGAAATCATAAATATTCAAGGACTTCCTATGAGAAAAAAAAAAAAAAAAAAAATCACGGACATTGTCATGATTAAGACTCGCGTGTTCTTAAACACCTCAGCAGGGCATAAATCCACACTCCCCAAAGTGCTCATTTAAGAGCCTATAAATTTTACATTTCTCTGTCTAAACCGGTTACCACAGGATTCACGCTGTGTGAGGCAAAACACAAAGCAATATTATCAAGTATTTTTACCCTCTAATTATTCTGCCTGTACCATGTTGGAGACCATGTGTGTTGAATGTCACCTATTAACGTAGAACATAAACTCTCTTGAACCGAACCTTCACCCAATGGATCTAGTGTCTTCAAATGCCAATTCTCTATGTTTCTTTATATAGCAAGTGGTAGGCTGTAATAAAATACACATTTTAAGGTATCTGTCACTATATGAGCTCCTTGAGTGAAAAACAACTGTGATCTTTTTTTTTTTCATCAAAAGTCAGCAGGGCAACAAAAGGAGATGAGCGGAGAAAGAGTGCCTTCAGATGTGCCCACCTGAGGTGTCACCGATAACTCTCAACGTTATTGTGCAAATCACATAATGAACGCAGCTTGTGAAAGGTACGCTGTCTTTTAAGTAATAAAAATAAATAATAATAATAATAATATTATTAAAAAAATAAATAAATAATTTGAATCTGCAGGCCCCCACAGGAATATTATGCAAACTGTTCATCATCCAAACTTACTGCCAGTGCCTTTTGCCATTCCACGGATTTCAGGTGATCTTGTTTCATGCATATTCTACCCTTTTTGCCCTTCAAGTGCTGATTGGTTTGGGGAAAGTAGAAGGCAATGGAATGGCCTCTTCTATTTTGTAGCTTAATTTTTTTTGTCCCCTAAGTGAATTTAACACATCAGTCTCTTGTGAAACACTATCAAAGAAAACCAAATCAAAAAGAAGCGGAAGAGGAATATTTCTTGCTGCTAGAACACTCATATGAAGTTGGGGATACAACTGCTAATTTAGGTTCTCCTGACAGGAAGAAGTAAGCGCTCTTCAAAGCAAGCCTGGGAGTCTTTGTCTGCTTTAGCGTCAACATTCCAGCATGTTTCTTTGAGGGAAAAAAATAATTGGCTGCATTGTACGAGGTATATGTGTCAGGTCTGATAAGCGATGCATCGGTGATGTACATGAAGACATGAAAGAGACATGGAAGAAGACTCTCTTTTGAACCTTCAATGTGTTGATAAAGTATGCATCCATATTTAATGTCTTGATATGAGATATTGCTGAAAATGTGGGTGAATAATCTAGTTTTCAGACGCCTACACCTGCAACTTTTTCCCCTGGTGGCTGTCCCTGTTTGCGTGAAGTGATTTGTGTGCTTTCCTCTGTTAACGTTTCTATTATGCTAATTAACTGTGGTTTAACACTTCTAAGGAGACTTCAAAGCTCAAGGTACATAAAGTTCTGACAAAAGAAAGTGGCAGGTTGCAATATTTTAATCCCTACTGGCCACTTTTAAGAGTCCAAAACGTTTGTATGTTGTACTTTTTCCCCCCCTGCAGAAGTCTATTCTTTCTATTTAATTGGAGGGATGTCAGTGTGAAAACAAAACATGATTGTAAGCGGTAGCGACATCCTTGAAAAAAACAAAAAAACAAAAACTGAAGAGATGGTAAACAAATAAAAAAAGAAAAGCAATTGAATGTGAATAGCTCTACTTGTAGTGTATGGCCAACATACATAGTGTGTGTGAGGTTCAGGTACCCATTGTGAGGACAAAATGTCCCCACAAAGAGCTCAATATTATGGGGACATGTTTGGTCCCCATGATGAAAACAACTTATACATCAAACAGGATAATATATATATATATATATGAAGAGTTCAGATGCAAAAGCCTCTAAATGCCATTTGAAATTTTCTTCTTTAATGATGATTTTTATCAATCTTGTATATTTAAGTTCAGTAATTTCACTTAAATAACAATTAATAGGTAATTATCATGTGAAGTGAAATCACTGAACTTAAATATACAAACTTGATAAAAATGATCATTCTACACTGTAAAAAATTTACTGTAAAATTTACAGTAACTTACTGGCAACGATTAGCCAGTAAGTTACTGTGAATTCTCTTTACAGTAAGGGTACTGTACTTCCATTTACAGTATTTTATGTTTATACTGTGAATTCAAAAACAATTAAATACTGTGATTTTAGTTGTATTTACAGTAACTTACTGGCTAATCGTTGCCAGTAAGTTACTGTGAATATGTTTTACAGTAAGGGTAGTGTACTTTTCACAGTATTTTATGTAAACACTGTGAAATCAAAAACATTGAAATATTTTGATTTTAGTTGTATTTACAGCATTGATTGTTTTACTGTAGAAGAAAATTTCAATTTAATTCACATACAAAAAACTTTAAGCACTGTTTTTTATGTATTGTATGCAACACAGTACTATAAACAGTAGATAACGGTTAAGCACTGTAAATTCAGTTTCTCACTGTACAATTTAAATACTATATCACTATCATTTAATATTAGCCATCATTAAAAGAAACACCCATTTTTCTAAAACATTGCAATCAACTGCAGACAATAAGAAAATTGTTAACAGTTATTTATTTAAAAAGATTTGGTGAACAGAAATGACAAAACAGGTACAACAAAGGGATAATGGACATTGGACAACATGCCATTATACCATCCAAAGTTAATGCACGTTCTATGCAAGTAATGTGGCCACAACACCCAGCGGAGTGTTAACTTTAGATAGTCTAATGGCGTGAAGTCTATTATCATGCTTATTCTACTGTTGCTATATTCAAAGGAACACTCCGACTTTTTGGGACTTTAGCTTTTTCACCGTATCCCCCAGAGTTAGATAAATCCTTACATACCTTTTTCATCTCCATGCGTGCTGTAACTCTGTCTGACACACCCACCGCTAGCCTATAGCTTAGCACAAAGACTGGATGTAAATGGCTCCAGCTAGCATACTAATCCCAATAAGTAACAAAATAACGCAAACATTTTCCTATTTATGTTGTGATTTGTATAAATCAGAGTGTACAAATAACAAGGTCATATGAGACACAGCCATCATTTAACCGCATATTGGGAACTATAGTCTCAGAAGGCGAACCACTGCTAGTGATAACCGCAGCACCTGAGACGCGCCGTGGAGAGGAGCAGAGAGTTCGTTCAGAGTTGGATTAATAGAGTCAGCAATTACTAGATAGTGAAAGCATAGTTTACAATCATGGGTGTTCGCTGTGTTGTGTTCGTGAATCCACCGAGACAGCAGTCACACAGCTAAGCAGGTTTATAACTGAACTTTATTGAACACTCGCAGAGTACAAAAACCCCCCTCATGGGGCGTGGCTCACTTGATAGCGATCACACTGAGCATATATCACTACATCTCCCCTTTCCCCAAACGATGAACTTAGTAATCTGTTACTATTTTAGCATTATAAACATACTCTAACCATTTTAACAAATACTATGCCATACTTCTATAACATAGAATACATTTATTGCTTTAATAAACATCCTTTAACATAACCTTTTGTCTTGCTTTATTTCCCTTTACAATACTGTTACTCAAATTACATATATCTTCCTTTTTTTTTTTTTTTTTTTTTTTCAAGGAGGTTAGGGTAGACTACCTAAGCACTCCTGGCACAGTGAGAGGATTATTCTGCCTCTGTAGTCACTGGCCATAACTTAAAGGTTCATTCGTCTTGGTGGAACAGACAAACGTCCCGACCTTGTGTAAGTTCCTTGTCGGGTAGGTATGGCAGACTGGGGACTTGGAGCTGGTTGAGGAACTGTTACTGTTTGACAGTCAGGTACATGATCATCCTCACATACGTCTGGAAAATCAACTGCTTGTTCTTTTTGCTTTTCAGGATGGTGGAGTCGCACCAACACCCGTCTGTTACGTCGAATATTTCCATGTGAGGTTTTCAAAACAAACGACCTTGGGGCCTGCTGTCGGATCACTTTCGCAGTGATGCCTTGGTCTTTAATCCAAACAGTTTGTCCAGGCTTCAGTGGTGACAAAGATCTTGCTCTATGTCTCTTGTTGTACGAATTTGCCGTTTGAGCACGTAAGTTGGATTCAAACTGTTTTAGTTTGTCTGCATCTGGGAGTTTAGGTGTGTGAAGAGATGGCAGAGTTGGTAAACCTGTTCTCAGTCTTCTGCCCATCGACAATTCTGCTGGACTGTATCCGTTTGCAAGTGGCGTAGAGCGGTATGCAAGCAAGGCTTTAAACGGATCCGATGTTTTTGCCAGCAGTTTTTTGACAGTTTGCACTGCTCGTTCTGCTTCACCATTCCCTTGCGGGTACCGTGGGCTGCTTGTTATGTGCTGAAAGTCGTATTCTCTTGAAAACTCCCGGAAATCAGCACTGCTATACTGTGGCCCATTGTCCGATATTAGTATCTCCGGCACCCCATTTCGTGCAAACACTGCTTTCAGATGTTCAATTATGGTCGCAGAAGAAGTTGATGCCAATTTGACCACGTCGACATCTCTTGAATAATAATCGACAGTTAAAAGGTACTTTTGTCCCTTTAGTTCAAACAGGTCTGTAGCTGCTCTCTGCCATGGATATGGTGGGAAGTCGGTAGGTTGTAGTGGCTCTACAACTGTCATGGAAACCTTTCTACACTCATCACATTGTTGCACCATAGTTCCCAATTGTGAACTCAGACCGGGCCACCACACAGACTGTCTTGCCCTTTTGCGACATTTTTCTATCCCTTGGTGTGCCTGGTGAATGTGGAGGAGAACTGAACTTTGGAGTGAGGCAGGGATTATCAATCTTGTCCCATGTAGTAGCAGTCCGTCAAGGGTGGAAATCATATTTCTTTCCAGCCAGTATGGTCTGAGTTTGTCACTGGCCTGCACAGTTCTCGGCCATCCATGCTCATGGAATCTCATTACTTGGCTACAAACAGGGTCTTTCTTTAGCTCCTGGCGAATGTTGTCCAGGCGGCTCTTTGAGGCAGGGAAGCTTCTCCCTATTTGGGCGATGTAAATATTTGTGTCCTCCATTAGAGTTGCATCATCAGCCGTTATTTCGCTCTCAATGGGCATTCTTGACAGTGTGTCTGGAGTTATGAACTGTTTCCCTGGGATATGGCTGATCTCGTAGGAATATCTCATAAGTCTCATTCTGAACCTTTGCAGCCTTGGTGGTAAGTCATCCAGATGTTTTGTGCTCAGTAAGCTGAGAAGAGGCTTATGGTCTGTCTCGAGAAAGAAATGCTTTCCAATGAGATAGCAGCTGAAACGCTCGCATGCCCAAACAAGAGCTAGAGTCTCCTTCTCTATCTGAGCATATCTCTGCTCAGTTGGAGTTAATGCTCTAGACGCGTATGCAATGGGTTTCCATTCATCATTGGTCTTTTGAAAAATCACTCCTCCCAGACCAAAGGACGATGCATCTGCTGCGACTTTTGTTTCCTTGCTTGGATCAAAGAGTGCTAAAGTTGGCGTTGTGATCAGCTCTTTTTTTAGCAATGTGAATGACTCCTGCTGTGGTGCATCCCAGGACCACAGATTTTTTTGAGAGAGGAGGTCTCGCAAGGGCTTTGTTTTCTCTGCCAGATCTGGAATGAACTTCCCCAACTGGTTCATCATTCCTAGAAAGCTGCGTACCTCAGACACATTGTTAGGCTCACGCATATTTTGAACCGCAGCCAGCTTGTCTGGGTCGGGCTGTAATCCAGCTAGGGACAGCTTGTGGCCTAGGAACTTGACTTCAGTCTTTGCGAATTCGCATTTCTTTCTGTTAAGCGTCAGGCCAGCTCTCTGCACCCTCTTCAACGCTGCGTCAAGTCTGATGTCGTGTTCCTCTTGAGACCTTCCATATACGAGGATGTCATCCATGTGGCAAGTGACTCCATCTAGTCCCTCCAGAATCTGACACATTCTCATCTGAAACAGCTCTGGAGCACTAGAAATCCCAAATGGAAGTCTCTTAAAAGAATAGCGCCCAAATGGCGTAATGAATGTAGTCAATCGTTGAGACTCTTCAGCCAAACGGATCTGCCAAAATCCCGAATTGGCATCTAATTTGGTGAAGATTTTTGCTCCCCCTAACTGGCCTAATGTATGGTCTACTGAGGGCAAAATAAACTTCTCTCGTCTGACCGCACTGTTTAATTTAGTCAGGTCAACACAAATTCTCACTGTGTCGTCAGGCTTAAGAACCGGAACCATACCCGAACACCAGTCACTAGGTCCTTCAACTTTCTTGATGATGTCCTCCTTCACCATCCTGGATAACTCCTCTTTGACTTTCTCCATTAATGGCACTGGGACCCTTCTGGCTACATTTACAGAATACGGTGTTGCATTGGGCTGTAATTTAATACAGTATTCCTCTTTCAGCTCACCTAAGCCTGTGAAAAGCTCTGGATATTTCTCTTGCCACTGGCATTCTGTGATGTTATCCAGTCTTGTGATAAGGTGAAGCTTTTCAATGGCCTGTCTGCCCAGAAGTGGTGTGAAGAGATTTTTGACCACATAGATGTCTTCCTCTACATTTTTCTCATTTTTCGAGATGGTGGTAGAAAATACTCCTTTCACATCCAAGACATTCTTTCCTGGTCCCATCAGTACTTTGCGCGTTTTCTTAAGACCTGTGTTTTTATTTGAGGACAGCAGCACAAAGATGGATTCTGGTATTGCTGTGACGTCTGCCCCCGTGTCCATTTTCATTTTCACTGGTCGCTCCAAGATCTGAATGGTTGTGTACCAGCCCTGAGTATTTGAATCTACGGCTCCGAGGAATGCTTGCCCTTCATCTGAATCACAGTCTTCTTTAACCTCATGAAGCACGGTCTTTGAATGGCATTGGCTCATATAGTGCCCTGTCCTTTTGCACTGATGACAGACAGCTTCTTTAGCTGGGCAGAGATCCTTTACATGGTATGGTGATTTTCCACATCTCATGCAGTTTGATTTCATTGGTTTCTCTTTACGGGTTTTCTGGAAATTTTTCCAATTCCCACCTTTTCCTGACTTTGGCTTTTTGGTTGAATCCTGTCTGTACATCTCTTTGTGTACAGCATCTAACTTTAGGTCTTCGTCTTCTTCCTGCCTAAGTTCTGCCTGCTGTTTTCTCACTGCTTCACTTTGCCTGGCCATAGTTATGGCTTTTTCCAGAGTTAGGTTTGCGTGTAATTGAAGGCGCTCTGACAGTTTGATGTCTTTTAATCCCACTACAATTCTGTCTCTAATGAGTTCGTCTCTTAGAGGTCCAAAAGCACAGCGTTCCGACAATGAATACAGTGCAGTGATAAAATCATTAACTGGCTCATCTTGCTCTTGTTTCCTGGAGTTAAATTTTGCTCTCTCATAGATCACATTTATTTTGCCAGTGAAGTATTCCTTGAATTTATTCTGCACAGTTTCATAATTTCCACGCTCTTCTGTAGTCATGGCTAATCCGCACAAAATGTCATCAGCTTTGTCTCCCATGCAATAAATAAGTGTATTAACTTGGTGCAAATCTGATGCTTGTGCAAGATTACTTGCAACTCTGAACCTTTCAAATCTTCTAAGCCATCTTTCAAAGTCGTTTGGCTTTGTAAAATCGAAAGAATCAGGAGGTTGGATTTGATATGATGTTGTGGGTGCTGGTGATTCCTCCATTTGCTTTGTAGATTTTTTTTTTTTTTTTCTACTTAAAACTCTTTCCAAACTTGAGCACTTTATTCAACTTTTATGAAACATACAACGCTTCTGTGGGCCTCTCTGCCTGCACCCCGGTTGCCTGGTAACTATACCCCTCCCCCGCTCTTAACTTACGATGCGGTGGTTGAGCGTGTGCTGATCCGCGTGCAATCTTTCTTCCGTTATTTCCATTGGAAACGGCGTACACCACAGTCCTAGTAGCGTTTTTCCTCCAGCAGTGCTTATGGTCTTATTCATCAGCTTATCGTTCATTGGAGACAGTTCTAGCCGCTTCTGACACCATGTTGTGTTCGTGAATCACCGAGACAGCAGTCACACAGCTAAGCAGGTTTATAACTGAACTTTATTGAACACTCGCAGAGTACAAAAACCCCCCCTCATGGGGCGTGGCTCACTTGATAGCGATCACACTGAGCATATATCACTACACGCTGTATTTTAAAAGAGCTGCGACAATAAATGGGAGACCAGGTAATGCCATGATGTTTCATAGAATTCCAAACAAAAATGCTGACCTGTGATATTTATTAGTCAGGATGCATTTTTGTTCGGAATTCTTTGAAACATCATGGCATTACCTGGTCTCCCATTTATTGTCGCAGCTCTTTACAATACAGCGAACACCCATGATTGTAAACTATGCTTTCACTATCTAGTAATTGCTGACTCTATTATTCCAACTCTGAACGAACTCTCTGCTCCTCTCCATAACGCGTCTCGGGTGCTGCGGTTATCACTCCGCCCAAGTAGCAGTGCTTCGCCTTCTGAGAATATAGTTCCCAATATTTATACGGTAAAGATGGCTGTGTCACATATGACCTTATTTTTTGTACACTCTGTGACTATACAAATCACAACATGTAAATAGCAAATTGTTTGCGTTATTTTGTCACTTATTGGGATTAGTATGCTAGTTGGAGCCATTTAGACCCAGTCTTTGTGCTAAGCTAGGCTAGCGGTGGGTGTGTCAGACAGAGTTACAGCATGCACGAGATATATCTAACTCTGAGGGATACAGTGAATATGCTAAAGTCCCAACAAGTTGTCGTGTTCTTTAATTTACGACTGAAGAAAATTTACAAAACGTTTTTTAAAGTTACAGAGCAAATTGTTATTAGTTCATTCAATAGTTCTGTATGACAGGTTGCTATGACGGAACAATAGGCTAATACAAATTGATACAACGAGCCTATTTCATTACAAGATTTGTAAAGTTACAGAGCAAACTGTTACTAGTTCATTCACTAGTTCCGTATGACTAGTGCTATAATGGAACAATAATGCAAATTGATACAATACAGTCAAAAAAAATTTAACTACTTTGAAGTTGTGCAAATAACTGATTACCCCATTCTAAAGAGCAATAAATAACATTATGGCAATATTGAAATAAAATAAAACATTGAACATTAAAAAAAATATATATTTAACATTTGCATGAACATTTAAAACAGAAAGGAAAATAAAACTTCCCCTGCCACTTGGCAAAGGTCTATGGCCTCTTGCATGCCTTGACCTTGGAGACAGAGAATCCTATTTGGAGCCCTGAAATTAAAGAAGAAAACACATTAAATCGACTGAATGGTTTCGAAAACGGTAAAACTCAACTGTTTAACTCTGGAGAGTTGTATGAGCCAATAAAAAACAAAAGTGGAGTGTTCCTTTAACAAATACAACTTATTTAAATAATTAGGCTACTAGTAAATGGTGAAATTAACATTTAGAAAGTTTTAATAAATGCTGTAGAAGTGCAGTTTATTAATAGTTAATGTTAACTAATGTAGTTAACTAGAGTTTAATAAATGGAACCATATTTGTAAAGTGTTACCAATTTGTTATACACCGATTCAGACGTCTCGTGACAGATCAGTTATTTTAACTAGAGCCCGACTGATAAAGGATTTTGAAGGCCGATACCGCTACAAAATATTTGTTGGTTTTAAAATCCGATATTCCTATATATCGGCCGATAATATTATATATATATAATATATTATTTTTAAGAACACGCCAACAAACATAACAGATTACCCAACATTAGTTATTTGTAGTTATTTTATGAGTTTTTACTAGTATAGATGGTATAGCATGGTAAACGTGCGTGCCAGTGATGCAGAATTGACCACGCATGGTCAAGATCAACCTCTTGAAAGCAGAGATGGACTCTGACACAGTGGGCATCGCAATTTCAACAGCCATACTGACACCTGTTAGCATTTCAAACCCGCTCTTTCGCCCCAAACCACCAGCACGGCTGGTCATAGCAACGTAACTTACATGGTGTTGACGAGACGGGAATATGATGGCAGACATCGTGAACAATGTTTGAACACGTGAACACAGTGCAGATTGTCAACATAACATTAGACATTGTCTTTTTGTCTAATAACTGCTACCTAACATTAGTCGTCCGCGGTCAAAACACTGTGGTGTAAAACAGTTTGATGTTGGGATATTCACTGCCCAAAGCCTATTAACTAAAGCCAACCAACCCCGTTACGTCACATGTTAGAATACTGCGCAATGGCGCCACCCTGGCGGCGAAAGATATAAGTTTTTTTTTTCTTTTATATGTTTACATTTGTCATGTGTCTTATATAATTGTTGATTATAGTGGAAATCCATCTAGTAAATCATGTAAACTTGATTGACTGCTTAATTTCCCTTTAAAGGATTAGTTCTTAAAGGAGAACTCCAGTGCAAAATTAACCTTTGGTCTAATAACATATTGGTACCTAGTCGACCATTCTCTGAGATTTGTTTTTATGATAATCGAATGTAAAGAGTTTTATCTCTAAAAACTGTTTAGTGTATAACGCTAGTATATGGGGGCATTGACTAAGTAAAAAGAAATCGCTAGTTAATACCACTAACAAGGCTCAAAATAGCCCCACACTAACATAGTAACATAATGAGGGTCCCTACATCCAAAACGAAGCATTGAGAACTTTGTAAGTGTACAGACAGTATAATAAGAAGATATTTTATCAAGACAGTCCACTTCGCGTATACAGGCAGGAGCCATCTTGGAAAACAGTCTCGACAAGTCGAACCACGAATGCCGTTTGGTGTTAGTGTGGGGCTATTTTGAGCCTTGTTAGTGGTATATAACTAGCGATAGATCTTACTTATTATATGTCCCATATACTAGCGTTATAATCTAAACAGTTTTTAGAGATAAAACTCTTTACATTCGATTATCATGAAAACAAATATCAGAGAACGGCTGACTAGGTAAAAATGTGTTATTAGACCAAACGGGAGTTCTCCTTTAAATTCTTTTCCACTGAAGAAAGAAAGAGATGGATATCTGGATGCCATTGGGGTGAGTTAATTATAAGGAAATTTACATTTTGAGGTGAACTAATCCTTTAGGTTTAAAATAAAAATGTTTAAATGTAATATATTTTTCTCATGGTCCTTATTTTAAATAGGTCATAAAAATATCAATAATTGTCGATATCAACCATATGAAACACTTATATCGTGATACAGTTTTCAGACATATCGCCCAGCCCTATTTAGAGCCCTATGATTTCCGCGATAACGAAATCGCGGACGGAATCGCGGAATTGGCCAATTAACGCGGAATCTAGTGTTAACGCGGAATTTCGTGATTTTTTACATATTTGGTTTGAAATTCTGTTTTTGTGTGGGAGAAAAACGTATGTCTGTGTGAAAATGCAGACCGGGGGAAGCAAATCTGGGCGACTCAACCCCCAACCCATCATTTCAGCTCCAATGACGAAATCAAAACAATGAAAGCATGGCGAAGCGGCTCTCCTTTCGTCGACTAAAAGTTAAGAAACTCAACGCTATAAGCAGTCAGTGCCGAGCAGTTCGCACGTGATTTATGCAGTGTTTCCCACACTTAAATCGCCGCCACATACTGCGTTTCGGTTTTTAACACTATTTAAAACACGCAGCGTATTCATTCAGTTGTATTTCCCCGCTCTCCCTCCGTCTCGCTCTCACTCACGCGTCTCTCACACACACACACACACGACGTGCACACCACATCTGTCTGAGGCGCCGGACTGGACAAAGGCGAAGCGAACTCCATGAGAGACAGAGTGTGACTTTATTTAAACTTATAAACTAATATAATTTATATTACTGGACAGTTTAAAGCTCATAACCATATTTTGTTGTTACTTGAAGAGTGCTGTGTTATGTTGCATCATGCAGTATTTGTCCTGAAAGGCTACTGAGTAATTGTCTGTATTACCTCAATAAATTTAAGGTCATTCCTAATTTATTTTTATTTTTTTAATACATTTTTATCATTAACTTTAAAAGCATACTATTTTTTACAACTAAATTAACAGTCAAGGGTAAAAAAAAACCATAATTCCTAAAATTAAAACGGAAAAAACGAAATTTGTTGGAAAAAATAAAACGGAATTTGGGAAAAAATAAAATGGATTTCATAGGGCCCTACCTATTACATAACATTTTAAAGGGAGAAGATGATTTTGAACAGCTTTTCAATTGTCAATGTGCTTTTACATTGGCAGTCAAATTATTTAATATAAAAATACCTCTGATAAAACTCCAGTGTGTGCTGGCTTCCACCTAATACTGCTATACTGTAGGTTGAATACGTAACAGGCGAAGAGAGCGGCCAAGGCAGTGGTGAAGTCCACCATGTGAGCACCAGGTGGGGTTACGACCCTCCCCTTGATCGACAGCATCCATTTTTTTGCAGTCTCTCCTTAGTAAAGACAAGAGTCATCACAAAAATT